GGGGGGGGGGGGTTAGCTTGATATATCAATCTTTAAGGCACGCAGCCCCTCCCACCACAACATTGCTAAAGCAAAGAAGAACTCAGCTAGCATGCTAGCTTTCGTGATAAAAAATGCCCACCCCATATTGAATGCAACTAGGTCTCGACTGTGGAAGGAAGTCAGTCGCACTGTGTGCCTTTCATGTTCATCAGTTTCATCCAACTTCCTGCCTGCAGCCCACCATGCAAAGCCAAACGAGCTGCGAGCAAAGCAGCCATCAAGACCAGGGGCAGCAAGATTTTCAAGACCGGCCTTGATGCCTTTCCGGACATCCACTGGAACAGCTCCAGGCATGAGCAGAGTGGTAGTGCCACCGCAGTAGCAGTCTCTTTGCAAAGCAAAGCTGAAGAAGCAAAGAGCAAAGAGGAGGGCCAATGAAGTTGCCACAGAATCAGGCTCAGGATTGTGGTCAGCGCAGCAAGTAGTTCTGCCCGGCCCACAAGACTCGCCACAGCTTCCACGTGTACAGGATGACAGGCAAATAGTAGGGCTGCCAGAACTGATTCAGTCAAGCGAAAACCAAAAGCGCAAAAGAGAGCCGGCAACAGCCCGCAGTTCAACGCATGTATTAGAACATTGAACATGTGCATCATATTGGCTGCTTGCGAGTCAGCTTGGTCGCCTGCATATCTCATTTGGAAGCGAAAAGTCAGTGTGGTCAAAGGCCGATAGCTTTTGTGGCTCTTCTCCGATTCAAGGGGAAATCCCCAAAAATCGTGTCTGAAGATGTCAATCCACGGCTGCGATGAATAAAGGTCGGGATTGTGAACAATTGCGTAAGTGTCGTCATATACAAATTCTCCCTGCAAGGCATTCCTCAATTGTCAAGCATGGAATCAAAATGAATCAAGAAGGAAAGCCCGACAAAGCCCGATGCCAGTTTTCACCTAGCATTCCAAGTTCCAAGGCTCTTGAACACAGCGAAGCTGATTACCCCCACAAGTAATGACAGTGCTACAAGCAGTCCAGCGTGCTTGATGGTGGCGATCGACTTCTTCATATGTGCCATTGCGGCCATTGCGTCTCCCTCTCTCCCTCTCTCCCTCTCTCTCTCATACACAAACGCACGAATCGGTCAGCCGGCGAGCTCCAGTACACTGTTATGCTGTGCATGTGTTTTCTTGGCTGGATGGAAGCGCTCTGTTCTATATGGGCTGCTTTGTTCGTTCTCGCTTTTTGCTTGGGTCCAAGCATAAGAATGATGATCAATGCTCAGAATGATGGACCAGATATATACTATATACAGCTCTAGTGCTTCTTGCACGAACGCTCTGACATTGACACGAAGTGAGGGTTTCTCTTTGCCTCTCTTCAGCATACAACCAATTTGTGAACGCACCACACTGAATCTGCAAACGGCCACCTTGCTTCGCTGGCAGAGGCAAGCGCTGATCTGATCTGTCATGATCAAATGTCAAGGAGATCGGAGCACCAAAACCTAGGTTGCACACCAAGCAAGCGAAGGGCTGAGAAGGTATTTTCTGAGCATCTGTAATCAAACGTTCGTTGGAAGGCAACGTCCTTTTCATACCAGTTCTTGGTACGCCAGCTGTCTCCGTGCGAGGGAGATTCCTCGCCACGGAGGTGACCTCTGAGGCATGTCTGTTCCAGAAAGCCTAGTCGGAAAGGTTTGCCCGGAGTCGATTCACTGAGTTGGTCTCGGCCCTTAGCGGCCCTTAGCGGCCCTTCCTTAGCCTGACCGGAAGTCCTTGGCCTGTCAGCCATCCTCAGTCAATCAACTCCCAGCACGATGCTCTCGAGACGTCGTTGTCAAATGGACGTCACCACTCTTGGGTGTGACATCTCCAGCCTGACTTCGAACAATTCTTCCTTGAGCACAGGTAATGCCAGGAGCTTCTTGTTAGTAGTAATGCCAGGAGCTACTAGTAGCTTCTTGCTACTAGTAGCGGGCGATGCGCTTGTTACTAAAGGCGTTCACTGCAACATATGATTTTGAAGTCAGATTCTTGAGTTCTATACATCAAGCTGCTCACGTCTCGCCCATTGAATCCTCCATAGACCCTGGCATGCTACAACATCATGAGGAACTAGTGGGAACCGTTGATTTGGTTGCATGCCTTCCAGGCTTGTCGCCGCTGATGTTTTATCTTGAGGTCTGTGATCCCAGAGTGGAAATGTGCGAACAGGTGGTGTCTCACATTTATGTGTGTCTGTAGCGAAATGCACAATCGCAGTGCTGTGCAGGGGATGCTGATTCTGCCTCCATCTGCAGCTATGCCTCATACAAGCCTGGCAAACAGTGCGAGCCTTTTGGCATGCCCTTACAAAGTGCCTACATCATAGCTCGTCCCAGCCTTTGACCACAAGCCTTTCATACTCATCATAGCTGAGCTTCTGATCCTTGTTCAAGTCAGCACCTCGGACCACTGGACTCAGCTTCTGATCCTAGTCCAGCACGCCAACTGTCTTCTGACTAAGGCACGCTTGAAAACACCTTCAATCTGGGCATCCGTAAGCTGCACCTTCATCTTCTGCATCACCTGAGCCACGAGTCACATCGCCAACTAAAAGGTCTTCAAATTACATTTCAGCGCTGTTGCTGGTCACACCAACCGTGGCTACTTGCTGAACAAGTAGCACTCTTGAATTCGGAGACTTCGATGGTTCCGGATTTGTTGGTGTCAATGTCTGCGTATGCAGCTTTCAGCATGGTCCGCTGTTCCTCACTGAGACCTGGAGTTGGAGCATCGCCCGAGTTTTGACCAATCAGGGCCAAAGCATCTGCCACCTTCTTCTGCTCCTCTGAGCTGAGTGTTTTGAAGGTCTCTTGCACTTGCTCTGGGCTGGCATCCTTCAGCTGACTTGATGCGCCACCACCCATGACTATGTAGAAGCAAGGATCGATCTCAAGGTCTTCTGCCTTCTGAGCCGAAAGGATTCTATTTTCCAATAGAAGTGTTTTCTTTTCTGATCCAAAACGCTCCAGAAGAAGGTTTCCTGCATCTTCAGTCTGGACTCCGGACAAATGATCAAGAAACAACTCAGGACGCCACTTTTGCATCTGGAATGCAACACATGCTTACTTGCATGGCAGGCGTTTAGATCCAACTGGTGTGTGTGATGCATCAAAAGAACAGTTTTCACCAACAATCCAGCCTAGAAGTGTTTCGTCCAATCTCAAATCATAGTGTACAAGCATAAGTTCAGATGTTCGTGTTGGGTACTGGGCTGTGATTCTGGACTCTTACAGTTTTTCGGCTACACCTGGCAGTCTGCACTTTCGGGAATGATAACGGTATGCTAAGTTCTACAGTACCTGGTTCTTCATTTCCACAGAAGGTACTTTATATTCAATGGTGTCTATCCGCGAGTTGACCAATTCTATCTATGCAAAGCTACCACATGCACTCGGTTTCCTTACTTTTGACAAGAGGTCAAATGGCCGTGGGTCGAAACCCGGCTCCCTACGTTGACCTCCTGATCCGGAGGTCTGGAACGAGATGTATGATCTGGAGTTCTGATCCGGAGGTCTGGAACGGCAGGTGTGTTCCGGAGGCCTGGAATGAATTCAATCTTTGTGCTTAGTAGTGATCACATATATATATATATATATACGTTTGATGCATTTGCACTCCGTGGAGAAAGCAAACCCTCCACGCGTGAGGAAAACAGAAGGCTCCCCTTTACATCCGACATTGCCCAAAGATCCCCTTCGTTGATACAAAAGCGTACGCGCCCGCCCTTGCACTCTGATTTTCACTGGCGCCATGGCCAACCCTAGGTCATCAGCTTCACAACGTGGGGAAGGGCTCAAAGTGAGCTCGAGCAGGTCTGGAACGGGTATGGAACGGTCTGGAACGAGGTCTGGAACGAAAACGCACATGTCTGACAGAGTTCTTCAAATCCACCAAGCCCACTCGACTCAGTCATATTTCGGCCCGGGGCGGAAAAGATCGCATCTGAAGCGTATGTCGACATAAATGGCCCAAACCACCCCCAGCATGGCTCCAAGCAAGACCGCGACACCCAGCGAGAGAGAGAGAGAGACAGAGACGGCTCTCCCGACCTTCGGTGTATCTTACACACACCCGGGCGGTAAGCCCCCTTCCACATTGAAGGATGCTGCCAGGATGCCCGAAGTCCCGGCCCCCGTCGCCTCATGTCTCTTGCCTCTATCCCCTCTACCGTCTTACTTTCTCCCTGTGTTGGGCCGGCGCCCGGCTGTCAGGCGTAAGCCTTGAAATTCAAATACCGCATCGAGTTATCTTAGCGGTCCTAGCATCTTTCCAAAAATCCAGGAATACCAAAAGGGAACCAATACAAAACCAAATCTAGTCTATATATAATGTAAATACTTAAGAATGTATTTTTTAGACAAATACTAGGGCGTGACTAGGCCCAGGCTGCTAGTTACTAGGGCGCGACTAGGCTACTAAGCCTGCTTCAGACTGTGCCCTGGCCCATCAACTACTTCATCAAGACAATTACAAATAGATTAGGGTATAGAACATAGCTATGAAACAAGGGTCTGGAACGCAAGTATGGAACAAGGTCTGGAACAAAGGTCTGGATCGTGGTCTGGAACGCCATACCAAAACATTTTGACTCATTGCCAAATGTCTGTGCCGGGGGCTGCAATTTGCAGCATCTTCGACAAGCATGCAGCTGCATGTGCTCATTGACATGCTTTTGGTGAAAAGGTGTGCACGTAGTCTACGAAGCCATCTAGCCAGCTGGCGCAGGGTTGTTCAGCCATGCAGCCGCAACCTGACAAAAGCATGTGCGCCAAATCTGCAAGGTTGAAGTACATGTAAACTAGTAGCTTCTTGTTACTAGTAGCGATGGCCTCCAACCTGATAGCGATGGAGGCCCACCTAGTAGCTTCTTGCTACTAGTGGATCCAAACCAGTGCTTCTTTCACACGAAGCACTCCACACCTCTCGCAGCTCTTGCTTTGCAAATGCACAAGCACTGCTCAAGTCTCCTTGAAGCACTTCGTTGTTCTTGTTTCTGCTCTTTCTGCGGATTATTTCGGTTTTACTGTACTATTTTATAATGAAAACCTCATCCTGTCGTGACACCTCTCGTGCCTCATGTGCTAGATCGAATCGAGTCTGCTGCAAAATTAATTCTAGGGATCCTGCCATCACTTCCCACGCATGGTTCTGTTTGGAAACCTAATCCGATTCAGTCCAGCATAGCAGTTGAGGAGACAGCTCTCAATCTCTTTAAGATTCTCACGTCGCAACATGATAATGAGCTCCTTCCGCTTTCCTGCTCTTCGATCGCGGCAGCAAGAAATCAATGACAGGGAAGTTGATGAACTAATAGCAAGTTCCAAGGTCCTGCCAGCACCTTTCCAAGTTCCACAGCCGCCCTCTTTCCAGCAGCGTTTACTAGGTCCTGACAAGGGCCCAACGGGCCTTCTCTTGCTGTACGCTGCTCGTCAGGGAGCTGAGCGTTGCCAAGTCGTTCAAGTAGTCTATTCAGCCAGGATGACGCATGCTTTGAAGTCACCAAAATGTCACTACGAGTACTCGTGTAGTTACCCTTCCTTCACGACCTTGCGCAGTTCCAGGTCGACTTCATGAAGGCTGCACACCTGACAGCTTTATCTGCATCAAGGGAGTCTTCTGCTTCTGATGACTGAGAAAAACAATCCCCACCTCTTTCTCTTCTGATAGCAGACCTTTGCCACAAAAAGAATACAGTACCCACGAGTACAGTAATACTCAAGAGCACCAGTGCCAAAGGATTTGATTCGGATTGATTTCACAAACGAGCCAAAGATTCTCCATGCGATCAATCAAAAGTTGCGAAACGAAAAAAAAATATTGCTCACTAAGTCAGCAAACAATACATGAAGCACATGAGTCTGTCTGGCCTGTGCCCAAGCTCCAAATTGAAACCCCAAATGTTGTAAGGCCAAGGCTACCACTTCTTGCGGTTTTGCGAGCGACTTCTTGCAACAGGAGTTCATTGCCTTCACTAAAAGCTTGGGCCCGCCCGAATCGCACGAACAACGAAAACTAGGGACGGCACGAGCTGTCCAAGGCAAGTTGTGTGAACTCATTGATTGAAACTAGGAAGTTAATATATAGGAACCATTAGGAGCCCTGGACAGGACTTGTGCACCCGTGTGACAGCAGCGTCGCACTGATGCACTTTTCATCCAATAAATGTATATAGTTTTGTCAAAACCATCACATTCTCATAAAGGCTGCATGCCCATCAAATCTAATCAGCATGAGCCTCCTGATGGGGAGCGCTGCTGACCTCAGGATGCACACACTGCGGAGGCTTCAGATTCGCGGCTTCCCAGCTTTCTCAGTTTCCAACCCACTAAGGAAAAAATTCGCTCCACCAAGCAGCGGCCGACTTGGTCTCCGATTACCTGATCAAAGCGCTGCTGCAAAAAGAGTTGTTCGTTCAAAGCCTCCGGGAGTGATTCATCCAAACTCGTTCATCCAAGAAGTGATTCATCTGCTAACAACATTATACAACCTACCAAATTCAAACCCACCCAGAAGGTCCCAGATCGCAACGGCAAATACTTCGTCATAAACCGTCCCCATCTTGGCCATTGTGGATGGGCGTGGCAAGCAGAAAACGAAAAACATGTTCCCCTCCCTCAATCCATGCCTCTGGATGCCATTGGATACCATATATATGGTCATGAGTGTGCTCCATCGCCATGATCTGGCAAGCATTGTGAGAGGACTCGTGCACACGCATTCGCCAAGTGATCTTAACATCAGGCTTGCTTGGGATCGGACCCGGTTCCTGGAATCCATCGCTGTCCTCACAACGGAGCTTGTTGGCAGGTTCTCAAAAGTTCCACTGTTGCACACTTTACCAATCATTGTCATTGTTTCAAGAGCTGTAAGACTTCGGCGCCACAAAATGCAGTGGCAACTTCTCAACGAAAATATAATTGGATGCCTCAGTGACCGGAGTGCATAATTCCCATGAGCGCACCCAAAAAGTTGAAGAAATCAGCATGCCCTCGAGGGCGCTGACTTTTTGCACAAACCGGGGAGGCATTTGATGAAGCCTGGCATCCAGGAGGGAAGGCCAACAAACGAATGTCCTCATCAATGAGCCCCTTTTCCGGGCGCAGGGAGCTCCGCTGAATGCTGCAGCCTAGCAGGGCTGACTGTCGCGCACCCTATCTGCTGCAGACGAGGAAAGAAGCATCTTCTACGGTAGGTCTGTTACATGTGTCATTGTCATGTACCCATGGTATGATAAGTGATTGCTGTCATTGACCGTTGGAAAATTGCTTTCTGCAATTTATGGTCCCCTCTGAGCAAGCTCAATGCACATTGACATCCCAGCCTAAATTCTTCTCCAGCTCCTTCTTCTGCTTAATGCATCGCAGAGTCTCCCTCAGTCTCTCTGCAATAGTAATAAGTTGAGCTCAACCACAGGATTCTGAACATGTCCGGAGTCGTTTTTTGCTTGGCAAACGAACTACTGGTTTCTGAGAACAAGAACGGTAGCTTTCAAAGCACCGGTGCTCAGATTGAGTTAAAAAGTTGGGTCATCCTTGAGAGTCCCTTTGATGCTTGATGCAGCTGAATTTGTATGATTCAAATTCCGATGTAGAGGCATCAGCCCGCCTACTTCCGCAATGTTACAGTAATAGTTTTGTGATAGTGGAATCACCTTCCTACAAAGCCTATGGACTTATGGACAAAGGGAAACTGAGACATTCAAAAAGGTCAAATCAACTGACAAATTCAATATGCTGCGTGCATTGTGACAGGGATGTTTGCGTATATGATATTGCCGTTTCTGCTTCGCTAGATTCTAGATTGCCTCAAACAACAAACTTCTGGAGATTCTACAGTTGTGGACTTGAAGGAAGCTTCAAGCTTGCAGGCAGCACACATCATTTACCCAAGGTGCTTCAATTCAACGGCAAATCACAAGAACCGGGCCAACACTGGAGGATACAGCAAGCCATCTTCAAGTCCAGTAGGACAGTCGTGCACAGCTTTGCATTCAGCATTGCAATGCTGCATTGCATGCTGCAATTGGGGCAACAGCAGTCGGCCAAAAAAAACAAAATCATGCGTGGCCTCTGAGCGCCGCTAGAGGGGAGCACGGAAAGTATGTATCTGATTCAAAAGAAGAGGCTCTGAGAAAGGCCGGTCGTTTCCCCCCAAGACAGTCTTGTCCTTTCAGGAACGATGCGGTATCATTAAACTTCCTCCAAGTAGGCTCAGTGTTCTGCATTCGTTCTCTCAATTGGCCTTCCTCATTGATTTGAATTCACGTTGGAAGAAAGAAGCTGGTGTGTCAGCATCCTTGCCTGTGCATGTGTGCCTGTACATATCATCATCTTGCTACTCATGCGTTCCTGCGCATGAAAACCTCAGCAAACGAAAGACCAACAACACAGTAAGAAATGAACACAAAGTCGCATAGGAGCAACACATAAATAGATCAAACAATGAAGTTCTTTTCGGACAAATATCTCAGGCTCCATAAGGACCTTGCCCGGCTCTGTTAAACACCTATGCAGAACCCGGCGGCAGGGACAAATGAAAAGAATCTAAAAGAACCGGTAGCCATCTGCGCTAAGCGTCAAAGCCTCGGACCTGCATGGGAAGATGGTTAGAGCCAGATTCTGAAACTAATCGGTCGGACTCTGAAAAAGGGGTTCTGAAACTGAAGTCCGGAATTAAGATAGTTGCGGAATCCGAGTTGCGGAAACAAGACCGCTGCGGAATCCTAGCTCCCCCTATCCCCACCCATACCCCCTAGCATCTGTTCGATATTTCGTGTTTTCGGATGTTGCTTTTGCTGAGTCTGTTGTGGAATCCCAGTTGCGGAGTTGTGGAGTACAGTTGCAGAATTCCAGTTGCAGAATCAAAATAGTTGCGGAACCCTAGTTGCAGTTGCAAAAGGAGGGCAGTTGCAGAAGTCCAGTTGCGTAGTCCCCGTTACCTAATCCGACCAAATATTAAATAGTTGCAGAATCCTAGTTGCTGAATACTGTGCAGTTGACCTTATCCATTGGAGGATGCCCCAAACAAATAGCGTCGCTGCATGCGAGTTGCTGGATATGTAGGAAGCTCTCCACGACAGTTCCGGTGCAGGCCACAAGATCCTAAATCACGTCCTGCCGAGTTTGCACCTGTTGTTGCTCTGTAAAATAAGAGAGGAAGAAGAAGGTGAGGGCCTCTTTAAGAGGCCCAGCTTTAAGAGGCCCAGCTCAAAGAGGGCCTTATTGAAGAGGCCCTTGCCTTCCGCTGTTCGTCTCTTTTGAATTTTTGTGAAGATCATCCCGCACCTGGAGATTGCTACACTGGCCCGATGTCCCATCTTGTTCAGAATCTCCTGATAGGCAATATCTCCGATCCTTATAGGCAGACTACATGCATGCTTTTAACATGCCGGGAAGTGGGTCCGAATCAATGCAAAGCACCAAGCCCCAAGGAACTGCCTGGTCTCCACAGTGTTGCACTGTCTTCCAATCTTCCATTTTGGTTGGAGGCCATCGCTTCTAGGTTGGAGGCCATTGGCATTAGGTTGGAGGCCGTCCCGAGTAGGTTGGAGGCCATTGCTTTTGGTAGGGAGGAAAATGCTGAAGCACTTTTCCAAGGAACGTCTCTTCCATGCTCTTGCGGCGGGGCTTCAGCGGTGTCAGCACGGTCGGGGGCTCCATGAGCATTGTGTCTGCAGGCCTCAGAACACGTGTAGTCCTCTTGCTACTAGTAACAAGAAGCTACTAGTAACAAAGGGCATCGCTACTAGGAGCAAGGGCGCTACTAGTGGCTCCTGGCCATACTACTAGTAACACGCATCTGTGGCCCAGCGTGGCCCAGTAGTATTGATCAGATTGAACGTTTTTCCCGTGCGTGCGGGTGACGCCAATAACCCCAAATGGGGAATCAGAGAGACTCCTGCTCAATGTCATGGACTGGAAATGTAAGTGAAAGGTAGCTGAATCTAAGCACAGAACATTGCAGGCAAAATGTTTTGGAACATCGCCAGATCGTTGTGGCTTGCACCTGTGGACATGCTTGCACCAACATGCTGGAAGTGAGCTTCAGTCCCTCCACGTTCTGGCAAGGACAACTCCATAGTTCTTAAGATTTTGGAGGAGTCAGAACATCCTTGAGAACTTGTGGAAGGCTTCATAATGACATGGCAATAGTGCAAGCATGCTGCCATCAGGAGCCCTTGGGTTCTCTTCTGAGCGGAGCGAATCCACTGACAAGCGGCGTTGGCCCTGCGCTCCAGAAATTGCGAGCATGAGCAACGGTCAGAGTTTGTTGTGGAGTTGCAGGTCATGAGGATATGGTGAGTGTATTATCGTTTTCACGTCCGTCACGTTAGTGTTCTTGGTGAGTGTGATATGGTTTTTTGACCAAGACATCCGTTTTGAAATCCCATCACCACTCACTGACTATTCGTCACTATCAGTAATTTTGAGCCTAGCTCACACTTGGTGCATCATTTCATTCTCCCCACCTCTTCATCTTCAGCCCCCTCTTCAACTGAGCAGAGATGCTCAGCCTGCAAGCATTCAAACAGCACTTGTACAAGTATGAATTGCACCAGGAGCAAATAGATTGCACAAAAAATGCAGGCAAAGTGCCCTCTTGGTCGATACGGATGCCTTCTTGAAAACGCAAGAAGCTCTTGAACCCCACTCCGCCATGACATGGGCGTCTTGAAAAGACAATTCCTCAGTTGAAAGAGCGAGGCTTAGACTACTGTAGTGAAGC